AGACCCAGACCATGGTATAGTTCCTGGGTGCGGTAAGGCTAATCACTGTGGAAGTTCCCGACTCTACCATGTGCTAAATAATGCGCATAGAGATGTGAAGATAGTGCGTATTCGACAACTCGTAGATGATATCTCTGCTCGCGTTGAAGGACCTCCTGATATCGTGGGGCCTGCCATAGCTACTGCTCACGGACCTCCTGATATCGCGGGGCCTGCTGAGATGGCATCACGAGTCAAGGGATGCCTGGAGGCTAGACGGCGAATTTCGAACAAATCGACGATCCTGACGACCAGCAGCGACGATGCGACGATCGTCGGGGACGCGTTGCAGGAGATAGGGGTCAAGATCAAGAGGAGCCGCGCGATGAAGGACAGGGGGCCCGACGACGCCATGGGGATACAACGGACCAGGACAACGGCAGGGAAACGTGAGCGCCTTGGACGAGCGAGGGCCCCGAGGGCCCACATGTTTGGCTTCTTGGGCAAAGCCCGCAGAGAGAAAATAATACAGCTGTGCAGTTTTAATGTCACTGCTAAAATGTCTTACGATAGCCCCCTGGTCGGTCTTCCCCCCACAGATCCGTCGGCGCAGAGCGCTGGCTGCGGACATGGCTGGCGCAGGAAAGAAAGGGCGATGCACGTCCATGGTTATGTTGCTGCTTTATGGGGATCGGGGACCTTGGGCCGTGAGTGCACAGCGACAGGCCAAGGAGTGGCTTGTCTTTTGGGCCAACAATCCCAGCCTCAGGCAGCGTGTGCGCAGGGGGTGGGCGGCCGATAAGTTGAGGCCAGCGAGTTTAAAGTTTCGAGCCCGTTGGAGGGCGTGCACAGGGCCAATGGGGGCGATGATTCTAACCCCCAGGGCCCTGGGATGCGTTGGGATTGAACCTGATTGGTGGAATGGCCCCGACGGTGTTGAGTGGGGGTTCGACCCCGACCTGTCTGGAGACATGTCTGAATTAAGTGAAGTTCTGGAATCGGTGAAGCGCCTCCTTTGGGAGCAGGCCTCGAAGCATTCAGAGGGGTCGCGTTTAAAGCCCGAAGGAGGTGACTTAACCGTGCTTCGCAAAAATCTGCCCAGGATGCTTAAGAAAGATATGCGCCAAGAAGCTGGGGCCTTGAAGGGGCTTGTTTGTGGCCCGCTTTGGAATGGGGATCGCCGGCGCCGCGCTGGGTGCAGCGCGGAGGGGCTCTGTGACCGATGTGACCTCGGAGCCCCCGACGCGGCGCGCCGCCGAGTTTATGGGTGCCCTTGCGTTGCAGCAACAGAGCACCCATGGACAGCGCGCCAATTATATGTGCCAACGCGCTCTGACCGACCTCGACAATGGGACCAATGAGCCCTTGCGGCTTAGGGGTATTGCGCCTGGGTCGTGCAACGTGGCCCCCCCATCCACCGTCTCGGGGGGATCAGAGCGCTTGGCGAATTCGCGCTGTCGACGCCCCGACCCCCGAAATAGGCCCCGATGGACAGATACCCCCCCGCCTGGACCAGGGTCAGGGCCCAGCAAGCCTTCCTGGACGGAGCGATCACAAGCTCGGACCCCAGGACGGTGCGAGTAGGACGGGGTGTGTCTCTCCAGCAAGCCCCCCCCCCCCCCTCCCCCCCGTCTACGCTTGAGGGCTCCTCGGACCCGGGCCCTACCCATGGGTGGCATGGTGGCGTCGACGGCAGACGGACTGCTCCAGCTGCTGAGTTGGCAGCATGGTGGTGGGGCTTGCAGCTCACGCAAGGGGAGTTGATTGTGTATGCTGACGGCACGTTTGTTTTTGACGGATGGGTCGGGGGCCAATTTGAGCGGCCTTCAGGGGCTCAGAGGCTCTGGTGGGAGAGAATCGCCCAGGCTGCCCAGGGCCGACCAGGAACCGTCAGACTCCGAAAATGTTGCTGTCACTTGGATTCTGCGTCCCATGCGAGGCTCGGCCAAAGGGTTGAGGTGTCGCGCGGTAATGATATAGCAGATTGTTTGGCCCAGCTTGGGGCTCAGGAAGCCCACGCGTGGATAGCTAGCCAGGTCCGTCATCTCACCCAGGGAGACGCGACCGCGACGCTGGTGCACCAGCGACTGGCCGCTGTCTGTGCCGAGCTGGCTGCCGAATCAGCCGACCAGTACCTCCCCGCGCGCGAGGCGCCCGAGGGAAGGGGGGAGGCTGCTCGGCGGGCTGTCTTCATGGGCTGCTCGGCGGGCTGTCTTCATGGAGAAGCGTGGTTGGGTCTGTGCGGTGTGTCGTTTGGGCCCTGGCAGATCCTCGCTGGTCGACTGGTTCGAGAAATCCCGCTGTCAAGGGGACACCACGCTTCGCGCTCAGAGTGATGCTGGAACCCCCGTTCTCGTGCCGCCCCGAGCCGTGAGTGATATCCAGACTGCGACGAGGAGCGTCCCCCCGACGCACACGGTTGCCATGAGGCACGGCCTTGTCTGGTGCTGGAAGTGTGCTCATTTCGGGAGTGTGGTTCGAGGTGGGGGGAGGCTCCTGCTGCTTGCCAAACCGTGTGATGAGAAGATTACCGAATCTGGGAAGCAGTATCTCCGTAATTTGAGGAACGGCACGCCCCCTAAGCCAGGGAAGCCCTGGCCCATTCCCCCCCGTGCTGAGGACTGGGGGGCGCGGGGGGGCTTGACCGTCAAGAATTCATTTCTCACGAAGTCCCGTAAGTAAGTCTACTGAGGGCCATCCTATCTGAAGGGTGCGTTTGCCCAGCTGTGCCATCGGTGCTGACCTGGGGACCTGCTGTAATATCCCTGTAATATCCTCTTCCTCCTCCTCCTCCTCCTCCTCCTCCTCCTCCTCATCTCTCCTCCTCCCCCTTCCTCCTCTTCCTCCTCCTCCCCCCCCCTCCCCTCCTTCAGCGCCCGGCGGGCCGCTCGGCATCGTCGGGCCCGGAGGTTGCAGTCAAGATGCTGGGACGAGGAGACCCCTTCGGGCGCAGGATTCGAGTAGGAGATCGACTACAGAATTGGTTCGCCCCAGAAATGATTCTTCAAGTCGAATCCATGGGCAATTCGTAGAACTGGCGCAGGCCTACGAATGGTTGACGTATTTTTGTTGAAGGGTCGACGTGCACATCAATTTTGGGGTACACGCCGGTCGTTGAAAGTAGGTGTTCTTGGATTTCCAGATCCCCATCTACTTCAAGCGCCTTCCTACTTCAAGAATCGACATGCTTTTGCTGTGTTTTGTTATTCTCTGGGAGGGCCTGGACCCAATCCACTTCATTCGCCTTCCTACTTCATGCTTCTACCTACTCCTTCCGACCGACGTGTAAATCAATTCCGCAGTCGAACCCCCAGTCGAAGGATGGGGCCCTGCATTTCGAGCCACTCTTCAGATCCAAATCGGGGGGCCTCTGCGTGGCCGAGGCTCGCCGTGGCCGGGAGGACTCCGCCGCTGCTTGCTCGGCATTCTTGCAGTGGGGCTTCCTGGGCGTTCTCCCGCTGCGAGGGAAACGCGAGGGATAGGTTTTGTTCACGCTCTATTTCCAGGGGCCGTCACCTGGCTCCTGGGAGCGTCATCGAAAGAATCCGGATGAATCCGTAGTCATGTTGGCTCAAGCGGTTGAGCTTCGAGTATATATTCTAGCTCACCTCTTTGATCCAGGCGACTGTACCGCATCATTGTCTACAGCCCGCGATTGTTTTTTTAACAACGATGGATTCGCTGACGAGTCGGGGAACATCTCAGCGGATCCAAAGTGGCATCCCCAGCGCCATGTGCAACGCTTGCGGCTTCTGCGTCCCGCCTGGAAAATGCAGTTTCACCAGTGCCACCAGTCGGAGTGCTCCGACGGCCACGCCAACAACGGAAACTTGCGGATCTTCCGCGTCTTACCCCATCATAGCCGCGTTCGCACCATTCTCAGGTTCAGACGGCACTTTTGGCTCGTTGCCCAGTATGCAGTCACTGCCCACCATGCAGGAGTCCACCGTGAACTCGCTCCCCACCATGCAGCTCCTCCCGCCTTGCGAGCAGAGCGACAACGAGCCATTGGAGACCGACGACGAGTTCGACCACCCGCGCGGGCTCGGGCGGGCGGAAACCAGAGGAGGCTGCGCACCCGAGGACCCACCCGAGAACGCGCAGGACTCGGCCTGGGCGGGCCCCGGCGCCGCCCAGCTGGCTCCCCGCGAGCGCCCGCCTGCTCGGGCAGCCAGCGGCGCGCCCCCGCTCCACGGCGGCGCCGGAGCAGCGCCGACCAGTGCGCCCGCCATGCCGCCGCGTTCCGCCGCCGGGGCGGCGCCTGCCGGGAGGCCTTGGGTTACGTTGTTCCAACCGACTTCAGCCTTGATCACCAGAGAGACTTTCGAGCGCACCCCAAAACTCGAGGGTTTTCACGTGTCGGGCCCTGGGAGACACTGCTTCGACACTCTTTCGGCACCTTCCTGGGAGCTCGAAAGTATTTTTGGGATGTGGCCCTCAAGTGCGATGGGAGCAACATAAGCCTTGGGGCGACAGGTCCCGGCAGGCGGAGCCCGCCCGCGCCGGGGGCGGGGCAGCGCCCGGCGCGGGCATCGCGGCGCAGGCGGGGCGGCCGATCTGCGGCGGCCGCGCAGGAGCCTCCGGCGGCAAGCTCGCGGCCGCCAGCAGGGCGCTGGAGATGCAGCGGGCCATCGGGGCGATCGAAATTCGGCCACGCGCAGAGGGGCGTGGCGTGGGGGGGGAGGGCTTCTTAGAAGCACCCCTGCTTCTTAGAAGGCGCGGGCCTTCTTCATAGGTGTAAGGCCAGCGCCTGCTAAGAAGCAGCCTCCTTCTCAGAAGCCCTCCCCCTTCCCTCCACCCCCTTGTGCGCGCCGCCAGGAAATGGGTACGGAAAGAATGGGTACGATGCCCAACAGCAGTTCCTGTTCGTTTTGAGCAGGACTCGCTGTCCGCGCCGCCGCGGACGTTGTCCACTGAAGACAACAAGCCGCCCGCCCAACAGCGGCCGTTGTCGCTTTTGGACAACATTGGTTGTTGGGCATTGTACCCATTTCTTCCGTACCCATTTCGGGCGTCCAGAGGCCAGGATCCTTGAGCTGGAGCAGCTGCAGGCAAAGCTGCAGCAGGAGGTGCAGGAGGCCAGGCAAAGACTTCTCCAGCATGAGGCCGACCTGACGGAGCTAGAGCTCCAACAGGATGAGCCCGTGGCCAGGGCGCTGGTGCCGATGGAGAAGGCAGCGCCCGTCGCCCCTGGCGCTCCAGCCATTACCACGCTCGTGATCCGCAACCTTCCAATGGCTGTGACGCAGGGCGACCTTCTGGTCCTCATGAACCGGTCTGGCTTCGCGAACCGCTATGACTTCGCCTACGCACCAACGGACTTTCACGCTCGGACTACGAAGGGTCACGCGTTTGTGAACTTTATCACCCCGAGTGACGCCCTCGAGTTCATCGCCGAGTGGAACGGGTCGCGGCTGGCCATGGCTGGACCCGCCGCGCCCGTCCTCGAGGTCATGGCGGCACAGTTGCAGGGCTACGAGGAGAACGCCAGGAGGTGGAGTGCGAGGCGGCTGCGTCGCACGAAGAACCCTGAGCTCCACCCTTTCTTCGCCCAGAGGTGAACATTCGGCTGCACAAATCGAGTGTGAAAAGTGATGAAGGCGGAGAGCAATACACGTTGATGATGAGGAGCTCACCTTGACCTTAAGCTCTCATCTATGGGTTGGGTGTCAAACTATCCCGAGGTGATCGATGGCATATACGTAAAGGCTGCCGCCTCTGCCGCCGACCCCTATCGAGCGACTGGTAGGAATCGTGGGCGGTGGGAGTGATTCAGGTTAGCGGTTGGTAGATTGGCGTGGTGGTAAATATGATCCAGGAGCAGAAGAATGGGATTGGGCATGGAATCGCGATAGATCATTGGCGTCGGAGCCATCTTCGTTACATTGGGTCTTGAGGTGCCGCCTGTGAGGCGGTGCGGTCGGTCTCACCTGAGACGTTCCTGCAATTGTGGTTTTGGAGATGCCGCGCGAGAGATAGTTCACCCTATTACGCTTCGACATCCTCGCCGTGGTCCTGAGGGGGTCCCAGCGCAGTTTCTGCTGGGCGACTGGCCCATCACAACCTGTGCCCAGAGGCTCCAGGAGGCTGGCGGTGTCAGGGGTGGTGGTGGGGTCCCGGCGCGGTTTTTGCTGGGTGGGTGGCCGCTACGAAATTCTGCCGAGAGGCTCCAGGAGGCTGGCGGTGTCAGGGGTGGTGGGGGGGGTCCAGGCGCGGTTCTTGCTGGATGAAAGGCGCCTAAGAACCAGTGCCGAGAGGTTCCCTAAGAACCTGTGCCCAGAGGGTCCAGGAAGCTGGCGGTGTCAAGACTGGTGGAGGGATCCTGGCGCGGTTTTTGCTGGGTGGGTGGCCCCTACGAAACTCTGCCGAGAGGCTCCAGGAGGCTGACGGTGTCAGGGGTGGCGGGGGGGTCCCGGTAAGGAGTGGTGGGGGGGCGCGGTTTTTGCTGGGTGGGTGGCCCCGAAGGACCTTTGCTCAGATGCTGCAGGAGGCTGGCGGTGTCAGAAGTGGTGGGTGGGAGCCCCCTGCGCGGTTTTTGCTGGGTGGGTGGCTCCGAAGAACCTGTGCCCAGATGCTCCAGGAAACTGGCGGTGTCAGGGGTGGAGGGGGTCTCCCAGCGCAGTTTTTGCTGGATGGGTGGCTCCGAAGATCCTCTGCTCAGAGGCTCCAGGAGGCTGGCGGTGTCAGGGGTGGTGGGTGGGTCCCCGCGCGTTTGTTGTTGGGTGGGTGGCCCCTAAGTGCCGAAGCTCCAGGAGGCTGGCGGTGTCAGGGGTGGTGGGGGGGTCCCGGCGCGGTTTTTGGTGGGTGGGTGGCCCCTGCGAAACTCTGCCGAAAGGGGCCAGGAGGCTGGCGGTGTCAGGGGTGGTGGGGGTGCCGGCGCGGTTTTTGGTGGGTGGGTGGCCCTTCAGAACCTGTGCCCAGAAGCTCCGGGAGGCTGGCGGTGTCAGGGGTGGTGGAGGGGTGCCCAGCGCGGGTTTTGCTTGATGTCCTGGCGCGGTTTTTGCTGGGTGGGTGGCCCCGAAGAACCTTTGCTCAGATGCTGCAGGAGGCTGGCGGTGTCAGGGGTGGCGGGGGGGTCCCGGCGCAGTTTTTGCTGGATGGGTGGCGCCTCATGTGCCCAGAGGCTGCAGGAGGCTGGTGGTGTCAGGGGTGGTGGGGAGCTACTGGCGCAGTTTTTGCGGAATGGGTGGCCCCGATGAATGTGTGCCCAGAGGCTCCAGGAGGGTGGCGGTGTCAGGGGTGGTGGGGGGGTCCTGGCGCGTTTGTTGCTGGGTGGGTGGCGCCTAAGAACCTGTGCATAGAGGCTCCAGGGCTGGCGGTGTCAGGGGTGGTGGGTGGGTCCCTGCGCGGTTTTTGCTGGGTGGGTGGCTCCCAAAAATGAGTGCCGAGAGGGTCCAGGCGGCTGGCGGTGTCAGGGTTGGGGGGGGCCCGGCGCGGTTTTTGTTGGGTGGGTGGCCCCTACTAAGAACTTGTGCCCAGAAGCTCCAGGAGGCTGGCGGTGTCAGGGGTGGTGGGGGGGTCCCGGCGCGGTTTTTGGTGGGTGGGTGGCCCCGAAGAACCTCTGCTCCAGAGGCTCCAGGAGGCTGGCCGTGTCAGGGGTGGTGGGGGGGTCTCGGCGCGGTTTTTGGTGGTTGGGTGGCCCTTAAGAGCCTGTGCTTAGAAGCTCCAGGAGGCTGGCGGTGTCCGGGGTGGTGGGTGGGTCCCAGCGCGGTTTTTGCTTGATGGATGGCTCCTCAGAGCCAGCGCCCAGAAGGGCCAGGAGACTGGCGGTGTCAGGGGTGGTGGAGGGGTGCCGGCGCGGTTTTTGGTGGGTGGGTGGCCCTTAAGATCTTGTGCCCAGAGGCTCCAAGAGGCCGGCGGTGTCAGAAGTGGTGGGTGGGTGGCCCCTGCGCGGTTTTTGCTGGGTGGGTGGCCCCGAAAAACTTTTGCCCAGAGGCTCCAGGAAGCTGGCGGTGTCAGGGGTGGTGGGGGGGTCCTGGCACGGTTTTTGCTTGGTGGGTGACCCCGAAGAACCTCTGCCCAGAGGCTCCAGGAGGGTGGCGGTGTCAGGTGTGGTGGGGGGGTCCCTGAGCTTTTGTTGGTGGGTGGGCGGCGCCTAAGAACCTGTGCCCAGAGGCTGCAGGAGGTTGGCGGTGTCAGGGGTGGCGGGGAGCTACCGGCGCAGTTTTTGCGGAATGGGTGGCCCCGATGAAATTGTGCCCAGAGGATCCAGGAGGCTGACGTTGTCAGGGCAGTGGTGGAGAGGTCCCGGTGCGGTTTTTGCTGGGTGGGTGGCCCCGAAAAGGCTCGAAGAGGCTGGCGGTGTCAGAAGTGGTGGGTGGGTGGTCCTTGCGCGGTTTTTGCTGGGTGGGTGGCCCCGAAGAACCTGTGCCCAGAAGCTCCAGGAGGCTGGCGGTGTCAAGGGTGGTGGGGGGGTCCCGGCGGGGGTTTTGCTGGGTGGGTGGTCCCGAAGAACCTGTGCCCAGAGGTTCCAGGAAACTGGCGGTGTCAGGGGTGGTAGGGGGGCCCCGGGCTTTGGTTGATTTTGACTGAGAAATCGTGGCGCGGGGGGTCCCAAGAACAAGTATCCGTGGATGCGGGTGACAGGCCGAGGAGGGGGGCGTGGAAACTAGGCGAGGTGGGGGGCGTTGGTCGTTCTTGGCGGAGAGATCGTGGTGTTGGGGCCTCGAAGAACAGGGATTATGTGGGTGGGGGTGCCGGGCCAAGGAGGGGGGCGTGGAGGGAGGCGAGGAGGGGGGCGTTGGTTGTTTTGGCCGACAATTCTTGGCGCGGGGGGTCCCAAGAACAGGGGGGCGTTGGTCGTTTTTGGCAGAGGAATCGTGGTGTGGGGGCTTCCAAAAACAGGGGTTCTGTGGATGGGGGTGCCGGGCCGAGGAGGGGGGCGTGGAGACGAAGCGAGGACGTGGGCGTTGGTCGTTTTTGGCAAAGACATCGTCGCGCGGGGGGTCCCAAGAACAGGGGTTCCGTGGGTGGGTGTGCCGGGCCGAGGGGATGGGGGACGAGGAAAGGGGCGCTGGTCGTTTACAGCTGATATATCGTGATGTGGGGTGTCCCCAGAACAGGGGCTCCATGAGCGGGGGAGCCAGACCGAAGAGGGGCGCGTGGAGGGGGCGAGGGGAGGGGCGGGGAGGGGGGCGTTGGTTGTTTTTGGCAAAGAATTCATGGTGTGGGGGGTCCGGGTTCTCTGGGCGCCGGGAGGCGTGGAAACGAAGCGAGGAGGGGAGAATTGGTCGTTTGTAGCAAAAAAATCGTCGCGTGGGGGGTCCCAAGAACAGGGATTCCGTGGGGGGAGGTGCCGGGCCGAGGGAGGGGCGTGGATGGGGGACGAGGAGGGGGGCGGTGTTTTTTGCCCGGTCGAGATGTCGTGATGTGGGGGGCCACAAAAACAGGGGTTCCGTTGGTGGGTGTGCCAGGCCGAGGAGGGGGGCGCGGAGGGGGGCGAGGAAGGGGGGCGTCGGTTGTTTTTGGGTAAGAAATCGTGGCGTGGGGAGTCACAAAAATACGTGTTCTGCGGGCAAAATCCACCGTTTCAGGTTCCAGAATCACCCTGGAACCGTTTTGGGGTGAAAACCCATCTGGGCCCATTTTCAGCTCCTCCCAGAAGGCTAGTTACAGAAGCCCTTTATTGGGCTCCTTACAAAAGCTTTCATTAAGCTCCTTACAGAAGCCTTTCTTGGGCTCCTTACAGAAGCCCTTACTGGGCTCCTTACAGAAGCTCTTATTGGGCTCCTTACAGAAACCACTCTTGGGCTCCTTACAGAAGCCCTCATTGGTCTCCTTACAAAAGCTCTTATTGTGCTCCTTACAGAAGCCCTTAATGGGCTCCTTACAGAAGCCCTCGCTGGGCTCCTTACAGAAGCCCTCACTGGGCTCCTCACTGGGCTCCTTAGGGAAGCCCTCACTGGGCTCCTTGCAGAAGCCCTCACTGGGCTCCTTAGAGAAGCCGTCACTGGGCTCCTTACAGAAGCCCCCAAGAGAGCCGTTTTGCGTTGGGAGAGGGTCCCAGATGGATTTTCATGCTGGAACAACACTCTGGGACCTCCCGACGCTGCGCGGGAGGGCCCAGCCGCGAAAAACAAGCTCCCCAATCAGAGATTTCATTTGGAAAATTGCCATTTTGGGAGCTCGTACGCCCGCCCATCCCCGACAGAGCCGTTTTGCGTTGGGAGAGGGTTCCAGATGGATTTTCACCTTGGAACACAAGCTCCCCAATAAGAGATCTCATTTAGAACATTGCCATTTTGAGAGCTCGGGTACACCCCCCCATCCCCGAAAGAGGCGTTTTGCGTCGGGAGAGGGTTCCAGATGGATTTTCACCCTGGAACGGTTCCGGGGTGAAAATCCATCTGGGACCTCCCGACGCTGCGCGGCAGAGCCCAGCCGCGAAAAACAAGCTCCCCAATAAGACATTTCATTTGGAAAACTGTAATTGTTGGGAGCTCGGGTGCACCCCCCCTCATCCCCGACTGAGCCGTTTTGCGTCGGGAGAGGGTTCCAGATGGATTTTCACCCTGGAACGGTTCCGGGGTGAAAATGCATCTGGGACCTCCCGACGCTGCGC